GCATGGGAGGTTTTGCCATTTTTTAAGTTCTGTGTTGATTTCCTTTTTCAAGATTTTAAAGTTTTCATCATAGAGGTCCTTCACTTCTTTAGTTAATTCCTAGGTATTTTATTTTTTGTGGGGCTATTACAAATGGGGTTGCTTTCCTAATTTCAGCCACACTTTTCTCATTGTTTGCATACAGAAAAGCCATTGATTTTTGGGGGTTAATTTTATACCCTGCTACTTTGCCAAAGTTTTGAATCAGCTTGAGTAATTTGGGAGTGGAGTCTATGGGATTCTTTAAATACAAGATCATGTCATCTGCAAAGAGGGAGAGTTTTATTTCTTCTTTCCCTATTTGGATCCCCTTTATGTCTGCATCTTGTCTTATTGCTGTAGCTAGGCATTCTAATACTAGATTGAAGAGAAGTGGAGAGAGTGGGCATCCTTGTCTTGTTCCTGAGTTAAGAGGAAATGGCTTTAGTTTTTCACCATTGAGTATAATGCTGGCTGTAGGTTTGTCATATACAGCCTTTATTGTATTGAGGAATGTTCCATGGATTCCTAATTTTTCCAAAACCTTCATCATAAAGGGGTGTTGGATCTTGTCGAATGCTTTTTCTGCGTCTATTGAGATAACCATGTGGTTCTTATTCTTGCTCCTGTTGATGTGATGAATAATATTAATTGATTTGTGTATATTGAACCAGCTTTGCATCCCTGAAATGAATCCTGTTTGATTGTGGTGTATGATTTTTTGGATGAATTGTTGAAGTCGATTGGCCAAAATTTTGTTGAGAAGTTTTGCATCAATATTCATCAAAGAAATGGGTCTATAGTTCTCTTTCTTTGATGAGTCCCTGCCTGGTTTTGGGATGAGGGTTATGATGGCTTCATAGAATGTGTTCGGTAGTGAGCTTTCTCTTTCAATTTCATTGAAGAGTTGGAGGAGAATTGGTGTGAGCTCTGCTTTGAAGGCACGGCCCCACTTTTAATTTGGTTTGTGGCAGCATAGATAGCAGCCATCTGCTCTGAGCCGACCACTAATTCTTCCAGCATCCCAATCCCCCACAAAGGTAACATGGAGCACCTGGAGTCAGGCCTTATTCAGCGTAACCACCTGAGCTTAGGGAAGGTGTGCATCTTCATATTGATCCGTGAATACAGGAACTGCATTGCTTTGATTGATCAAAGCCAGCTCAGATGGCCATCCTTGGAACTTGGTCTACATGCAGAATCACTTGGCCCAACAGAGAAAGAAGAAAAGGCAGTTTTATGGGGACTACCCAGGGAAATGGAAGCAACGTTCAGGTGGGCTAAAACCTCAGATGTTTTGTATGAAATAAGTGTGAGGTTTAGTAGCCATGAGAATCAGGGAACAGTGCCATGAATCCCTGTGGAGACGAAGGAGCAGGTGCTCCATTGCTTAACGCTTGCTGAAGGCATCTGGGCTTGTCACTGGAGGAGCGTGGCTTCGAACCTGGGTTTGGCTAAGCACCTTACCACATCCCTTCCTCCCACTCCTCTGCCTCCCTATGTGCAGAGCATGGCAGGAGCTGGTGCCCAGCACCCGAGGTCTCATTTACTCCACTCAGTGCTGCGGTGAAGCAGGTTGGCTTGGTAAAGGAAATCTATGCTGAACCAATCCAAGGGGCTGCAGGGCCATTGGTCTTTCCCAGGTCCCATCAAGTGGCTGCGTGCTCCCAGGGAGAAAGCATAGATCCCAGGAAAGGCCCCTCTGACAGGACTCTCACAGCCGGGATATGAACACAGCGTTGTTTACTTTGCTCAACCCCACAATTAGTGAAAATCAAAATGTCTCCAGATGCACTCGCTGTAGTAAATTATTAGGTAATTAACCTTAATGCTCCCTGCTCTGAGCCACCCACTCACTTCTGCTCAGGAGCTGTGGAGAGCATTTTTCAGACATCAGAATGTACGGCCGTGCTGCAGCTTCAGGCCAAACCAAACACGACTGAAGATGGTAGGAAGGGATTTCAAATGGATCCAGTTCCAAGAGAGGGAGGGAAAAGCTGAGCTAACTGTCAGAGGCAGAGCACAGACTGGCAACATAAAGACTGAACTGACAATCACACGGTAGAGAAGGGTTCTTTCTAAGTCATCTCAAATGCTGGTTTTCTTCTTCTTTTTTCTGCTCGCAAGTCTAAGCCCTTATCAAGTCATGCTTGGGTTATTTTAATAGAGAACTTCAAAATGGTCTCTTTCTGTCTCTGCTCTCCAATCCTTTGTACCTGATTCATCTTCTTTTGAAGCACAAATCTTAGAATGCCACCCAATTCTTAAGCCTTTCATGGCTTCACTTGCTGATAAATAGCATCCAAATACTTTATTTATTTTTACTTTTATTTGTTCGTTTTGCTGGTTCTGGGGCTTGAACTCAGAGCTTGGGCACTGTCCCTGAGCTTTGGTGCTCAAGGCTAGCACTCTACCACTTTGAATCACAGCTCCATTTTTGGCGTTTTGGTGGTTAAATGGAGATAAGAGTATCTTGTCTTTCCATTTCCTAACAAATGGGGCAATGTCATTCTTTCTGATGGAGGCATAGAATTCCATTGTGTATATATATCACATTTTCTTGATCTGTTCATCTCCTGAGGGGCATCTGGGTTGGTTCCATATCTTAGCTATGGTAAATAATGCTGCAACAAACATAATTGTGCTGGTAGCTTTAGTATTGTCTTGTTTGTGATCATTTGGGTAAATGCCCAAAAGTGGGATTGCTGGGTCATGTGGAGTCTTTTGAGGACCCTCCATACTACTTTCCAAAGTGGCTGAACAAGTTTACACTCCCACCAACAATGCAGTAGGGTTCCCTTCTGCGCACATCCCCTCCAGCATGGAATTCTATGCCTCCATCAGAAAGAATGACATTGCCCTATTTGTTAGGAAATGGAAAGACTTGTAAAAAATTATATCAAGTGAAGTAAGCCAGGCCCAAAGAAACATAGAGCCCGTGGTTTCCCTATTTGCAATAACTAGTATAGCTAGTGTGAGTCAAGCAGAAACGGTCAGATAAGTGGATGTTAGGCGAAATGAACCTCAAGATAAGGACTCAAATGATTTTTTCTTTTTTGCTATTGTTTTTAACATATTTATAAGATATTTCTTGGTTGCTTTGTATGTCCTTCCCCCACGGTATAACCCCTGTTTTCACTGTGTTTGATGTTGGTATAATTTGTGGAGGGGAAGGGAAAAAACCAATAGTTTAAATAGGGATACAGGTGGACCCATTGCAACAGTGAGATGTACAAGATGTTATGTCAAAAAATGAACTTTACAACTTTGGCATGGGCGATTGAGGGGGTGGGGGCTGAGGGGAGGGAGGTTCGGGGAAGGGGGGGAGATGGGAAGGGGAAATAAAGGAGGAGGCAACAATTCTTGATAAGAAATGTACTCATGGAGTTCCGGGAAGATGGCGGAGGAGAAGCTAGAGGCTAAACAAGCTCTCGCATAGAAAGCAGTTTTAGTGTTCCAGTGAACAGTCCTAGGCCAAAGAATTACACCCAGTGTGCCATCACAGTGCAGAGAGTTTGGCCAGAGAGGGAAAATCCAGGCAAGGAGACAGATCTGAGCACTTGCCAGCAGCCGTGGCTGTGGCTGCGGCTGCAGTGGCGGCGGCCATAGCTGCCATACCTGCAACACAGAGAGTTCGGGACGAAAGAGCCAGACAAGGCAGGTGAGCGGATTCTACTCAATACCAGCATAACCGACAAGGAGCAGTCATCTTCATCCTTCAGTTCGCAGACCAGAGATGACCCAGGAACCAAGACTCAGCATGAGTAGAACCCTGACATCCTCACTCCTTCTCAGGTAGCAGAGGAGGGAAGGCCACCCCTCCCCCCCTACTACTGGAGATCTCCATCTTTAAAGGCCCCACTGAGCTGCTAGCTCCAACTCAGGCCTTTGAAGAAAACTAGAGTCATTTAGCAGGTCACAAGAACCTAACCTGACCTGCCAGACTCAGCTCCACCCAGGGAAAAGTCACCCAGCCAGCGCTGCCAGCCCCAGGAGTGGCTTTCTTCACTGGGTAATCAGAGCCAGAGGCTGCCCCTCCCTTTAGCAGCCTTGACAATCAATTGAAATTCGGTAAACATAAACCCTGAGAATGGCTCCAGGCTGGGCTCTGTGAGTTTCTCACAAGCTAGCCCCTCAGGGAAAAGCTACTGTTTACTGAAAGGCCTCAACTCTACCCAGAACCTAGCCTCATCACAGCATCTCCAAACTAGAGGAAACAGCCATCTCTCTCTTTTGTGATACTCAAAGCAGATCTCCCTCCCATTGAACTATCCTGGGAGGAGGATCACAAAATCCTGGGTAAAGCAGAGCATTTTTCTGCCTGCTCAAACAAATTGACTTAAGAAACCAACCAAGCCACAGGAAAATCAAACACCACAAGCAGACCAGAGACTCCAACAAGAGACTGGTTACAGACACAAGGGAGATACAGGATCTTCCCATCCCCCCACACCAAAAAAAAAAATCAAAGAACTTTTTTTGTACATTTTATAACATTTTTTGTTCTAAAACTTTTTTAAATTTTTAATTTTTAACTTTAAAAAATTGTTTTCTAGTAACTTTGTTTTTCTTCCTCTTATAATTCTTATTTTAGGGGTATATGTGTGTGTGCGTTTTTCTTTCTTTTTTTTTCTTCTTAAAAATTTTATTTTTTTTGTTTTTTGTTTAGCTCTACTGAACTTTTGATCTTTTTTTCTTTCTTTCTCATTCTTTCACCTTTTCTTCTCTTTCGTTCTTCTTTGTGTGACTAAATTGCTGTTCTGCACATCCTCAGATATACCTGTAATTGATTATTAGACCTTATCCCCCATTGTGTACACACTTAATCTAGAAATTTAGTACTCAATTCAAAACATCTTAGACTTAAATTCCTTAATAGCAGTACTACCTCTTTATACCTATATAATATTTTAAGCATTTTTATTTTTAAGTTTTCATGGCTCCTTTATTTATTTATTTTTATTTTATTTTATTTTTTTTGCTGAGGGAGAGCTCACATGCAGTCCCCCCACTACCAAAAATTTACACAGTCGAGTTTCTTCTTTGTGGAGAAATCACAGGAGTCAGCGCGCCCTAAGTGCAAAGGACACGCATCGTCCTGAGAAAACCACCTGCATGATCATAGTGCTTCCCCTGCCAGGTAAGTATTCACGTCTCCTTTACATCCCTCCCCTCTCCCATTATATCCACGTTCTTCTCTGAACATTTCTATTTCAAATTTGCATAATTTTTAAGCATTGCACTTTTTAATTTTTGCTTTTCTATTTTTTCTTGTCTCTTTTTTTCTCTTTCTCTTTCTTCTTTTTTTCTCTGTCTCTACTTTCATTCTATCCAACCTATTTCCCGCTTTGAGATTAGGACTTAGTTAAGTTAACTCTCCCTGTGCCTTCCCATATCCCTCTATTCCTATTTTTACCTACATCTCTCCCTAAACCTAATAATTTCTGGTTTTCCAAATTCTACTTTGCGGTTTGTAGCCCATTAATATATAGTTGTTGATGTTGAATAGATATATCTGTTGAACTAGATTGTATCTACAGACTTTTGACTGTGCAACTACAGACTTTGGTTAATGCTTGCCTTAAGATAGTGTTCTAGCACAAAACTGGTGTTACTTTCATCCCAAATGGGCAGAGTAAGCCGGAAAAATACAAGAAAAATGGCAAGTCTGGGTATCTCAACTCCCACTCATGATAATCAGGGGACAAAACAGATAATGAATAATCCAGAGGAGAGTTCCCAAATAGCTCTACAAACACTGCTGGTAAACATGGTAAATGAAAAGATGGAAAGCCTACAAAGGACTCTGTATGAGCGTGATAGGGAGAGAGAGGAGGCAAACTAAAGGTTAATAAAGGAATATCATGAGCGTGAGGAAGCTACTCAAAAATTGATACAGGAATTGCATGAGCAGCTTGAGAATGCTCAAAGAGAAAGGCAGGAATGGCGTGAGCAGGCTGAGATCAGTCAAAGAGAAAGTCAGGAATGGCGTGAGCAGGCTGAGAACACTCAAAGAGAACTACAGGAATTGCCTGAACGTGATGAAGCTAAGCAAAGAGTAATACAGGAATTGAGAAAGCAGGATGAGAATACACAAAGATCACTAAAGGCATTTATGGAATCCATTAATAAAGAGCTGAAGGAAGTCAGGGGGACCACAAATGGAATGCTGAATGGAACCCAACAGAAGGAATGGGAGTCCAAGGAAACCATAACCAATCAACTAAGTGATTTGAGAATAAACACTGAACAACAAATTAAGGAAGTAAAGAAGTTCATACAAGATCTAAAACAAAGCTTCAACAAAAAAATTGAAGCCATCAAAGCTGACCAATTAGAAGGAAAAGAAATAAAAAACAAAGTAGAAAGTCTTGACAGTTGGTTAGACCATGCAGAAGATCGAATCTCAGGGAAGACAGCCTAGATATTATAAGAAAGAACATACAACCATCCAAGACAAATCCAAGATATATGATAGATCTATTCAACACTTGGAAGACACCATCAGAAGGCCTAATCTAAGGATAATGGGTATAGAGGAGCACCTAGAGACAGAAGTTAATGGTCTAGGAAATTTGTTTAACAGGATCCTAGCAGAGAACTTCCCAAACACGCAAAAAGATAGGCCTATTCAGATACAAGAAGCTTTTAGAACTCCAAATAGACCAGTCCAGAATAGGACATCCCACCGTCACATTATAATCTACACAGGATCATTTCAGACCAAGGAAAAAATCCTTAAAGCTGTGAAGGAGAAAAGATCAATCACCTATAAAGGGAAACCAATTAGAATAAATTTCTCAGCAGAGACAATCAAAGCAAGAAGAGCCTGGAAGGATGTATGCCATGCTCTAAAGACAAAGAACTATCAACTAAGAATACTGTACCCAGCTAAACTCTCCTTCATAACTGAAAGCCAAATAAAAACCTTCCATAGCAAAGAAAAATCGAAACAATCTATCTCCACCAAACCAGCCCTACAAAAGATTCTTAAAGATGTCCTACAGATAGAAAACCAACAAGACCACAATAAAGACCAAGAAACCGCACCCAAACTGAGAATCCAAGAACCATAGGAAGAACCCAGTAGCTGCAGCCCCCAAGAAGGTGGATAAAATGGCAGGAACTCCCAAATACCTCTCAGTCATATCTCTCAACATTAATGGACTTAACTCTCCAATTAAGCGACATAGACTATATAGTTGGATTAAAAAGGAAGATCCTTCTATCTGCTGCCTTCAGGAGTCACATCTTGCCCATAAAAACAAACACATTTTCAATGTGAAAGACTGGAACAAAATCTACCAAGCAAATGGCCCCCATAAACAGGCGAGAGTTGCAATCCTGATATCAGATAAAATAGACTTCAAATTAAAATTCGTGAGAAGAGATAAGAAAGAACGCTACATACTAATTAAGGGATCTCTCCTTCAGGAGGATATTACAATTCTAAATATCTATTCGCCAAACAACGGAGCATCGAAATTTATCCAAGAAACACTACTTTCCCTCAAATCCCACATAATTTTTGGGGATTTTAATACACCACTTTCCCCACTAGATAGATCAACTCGGCAAAAACTCAAAAGAGAAACTGCAGATCTAAACAACTGCATAGATCAACTAGATTTAACAGACATCTACCAAATATTTCACCCAGCAGCATCAGAATACATGTTTTTCTCAGCAGCACATAGAACATTTTCTAAAATAGACCACATTTTAGGCCACAAAGCAAACTTGTCCAAATTCAGAAATGTTGAAGTTATTCCTTGTATTCTCTCAGACCACAAGGGAATAAAATTAGAACTCAACACCAAAAGCCACCAAAGAAAGTCCTGTAACACATGGAGGCTGAACAACACACTGCTGAATCACGATTGGGTCATGGAAGAGATTAGAAAGGAAATTCAAATATTCACGATATTCAACAAAAATAAGCACACAAATTACCAGCTCCTCTGGGACACAGCAAAGGCAGTACTCAGGGGCAAGTTTATAGCTCTGAGTTCCTACATCAACAAATTGGAGAGATCTGAAGCCAACAATTTAGTGAGACATCTGAACCTCCTTGAAAAACAGCAGCAAGATAAACCCCAATCCAGGAGACAGAAAGAAATAATTAAAATTAAATTAGAATTAAATGAATTAGAATAAAAAACTAGAAAGAATCAACAAAACAAAGAGTTGGTTCTTCGAAAAAATGAACAAAATTGACAGGCCCTTAGCAAATCTTATCAGAAAAAGAAGAGAACATGCCCAAATAAATAAGCTCAGAGATGAGAATGGAAACATCACCACAGAAAAAACCAAGATTCAGAACATTATAAGGGAATATTTCTCAAAACTTTATGCTAATAAGTTTGAGAACTTGGCAGAAATTGACCTTTTCCTAGCAAATATTAACATGCCAAAACTAAACCAACATGAGTTAAACCATCTTAACAGGCCCATATCAGGCATTGAAATAGAAACAGCACTAAGAGACCTCCCATCTAAGAAAAGTCCAGGACCAGATGGGTTTACAGCGGAATTCTACAAGTCCTTCAAAGCAGAGCTCACACCAATACTCCTCCAACTCTTCAATGAAATTGAAAGAGAAAGTTCACTACCGAACACATTCTATGAAGCCATCATAACCCTCCTCCCAAAACCAGGTAGGGACTCATCAAAGAAAGAGAACTATAGACCCATTTCTTTGATGAACATTGATGCAAAACTTCTCAACAAAATTTTGGCCAATCGACTTCAACAATTCATCCAAAAAATCACACAACAAGATCAAACAGGATTCATTTCAGGGATGCAAAGCTGGTTCAATATACACAAATCAATTAATATAATTCATCACATCAACAGGAGCAAGGATAAGAACCACATGGTTATCTCAATAGATGCAGAAAAAGCATTTGATAAGGTTCTGGAAAAATTAAGAATCCATGGAACATTCCTCAATACAATAAAGGCTGTATATGACAAACCTATAGCCAGCATTATACTTAATGGTGAAAAACTAAAGCCATTTCCTCTTAACTCAGGAACAAGACAAGGATGTCCACTCTCTCCACTTCTCTTCAATCTAGTATTAGAATGCCTAGCTACAGCATAAGACAAGATGCAAACATAATGGGGATCTAAATAGGGAAAGAAGTAAAACTCTCCCTCTTTGCAGATGACATGATCTTGTATTCAAAGAATCCCATAGACTCCACTCCCAAATTACTCAAGCTGATTCAAAACTTTGGCAAAGTAGCAGGGTATAAAATTAACCCTTAAAAATCAATGGCTTTTGTGTATGCCAACAATGAGAAAAGTGTGGTTGAAATTAGGAAAGCAACTCCATTCGTAATAGCCCCACAAAAAATAAAACACCTAGGAATTAACTTAACCAAAGAAGTGAAGAACCTCTATGATGAAAACTTTAAAAACTTGAAAAGGAAATCAAAACAGAACTTAGAAAGTGGCAAAAACTCCCATGCTCCTGTATTGGAAAGATCAACATCGTGAAAATGGCAATACTTCCCAAGGCTATCTACAAATTCAATGAGATACCTATCAAAATTCCAACCTCATTCTTCAAGGAAATAGAAGAGACAATCCAAAAATTCATATTGAACAATAAAAGACCCCGAATAGCAAAAACGATCCTCAACAGAATGAACAGTGCTGGAGGAATATCAATACCAAATTTCAAACTCTACTATAAAGCCATAGTAATCAAAACAGCTTGGTACTGGCACAAGAACAGACCTCAGGATCAATGGAATAGAATTGAAAGCCCAGAAATGAATCCACAGACCTATAGCCATCTAATCTTCGATAAGGGAGCTAAAAAAATAGAATGGAAGAAAGACAACCTCTTCAGTAAATGGTGCTGGCAAAATTGGTTAACTACTTGTAGAAAACTAAAGCTAGATCCTTATATATCACCCTGCACCAGAATCAACTACGAATGGATCAAAGACCTCAGAGTCAAAGAGGACACTCTAAAAACATTACAGGATGGAATAGGAAAAACCCTAGGTCTTGTTGGCATAGGCTGAAATTTTCTTAATAGAGACCCAGAAGCACAACAAATCAAAGGTTGGACAAATGGGATTACATGAAATTGCAGAGCTTCTGCATGGCAAAGGACATAGCTAGCAAGA